TCTGAAATTACAGAAAATACATTTTTATGCCCCCGCAGTATACGTAGCTGAGGGGGCATTAAGTTTTACCCTTGTTCATCTGTCTGTGCGTCCGTCCGTTCATCCCAAAGTTGGTTTCCTTTCTCTAACTTTAGTTTGCATCAACCAAATGTTATAAAACTGATACACAATGCTTATTACTGTCTGGTAGGTATCATCTGACCTTGACTTCATTTTCATGGTTCATTGGTCCATATGGAATTTCCATGGTTTGGTCTGTTTCTTTTATACTACAAGCAATAGGTCATCTATATTCTGTGTATGGAATGATTGTATTAAAGGTGTACATGTATTTCCGCCTTGGTTTATCTGACCTTGACCTCATTTTCTTGGATCATTAATGTTAATGTGATACTTGTAGTAAAACTTTATATGTAGGACTATCAACATAAAATCAATGGTCAGTATAGTAGGCGAGACATTTCAGTGTGTGCACTCTTGTTTCAACTTATAAGTCTACAGATATCTAAATAAAAAATTAAGGTATATATATTAGGTAAAAATAAAATCAAACAAAAGCCGGTGTTCATGTGACCCCAACCTCATTTCACCCATCAGTGATTAAAGTTAATTTTTTGTGCAAATTGTGGTTAATTCCATTTCTCAGATTCTACAAAATGTATATAAAGCAGAAGGTCAAAGTTTACATATGAACAAGAGGAGATACTATACATGAAACGTTTATATATATGGCAATGATGATGATGATGATGGATAGCTGCTTACAGTCCAGTGGCAAATTAATATGCATATTCAGGACAAGAATATGTTAATGTGATGTGAATAATAACCCTGCTTTGTAATAGACCGCGGACGACAGCAACTGAGATAGCAAAAAATAATTAAATGACATCTAGAATGAAACCTACGTGTATATATAAGGCTTCAATAGAAGGAAAGGCAATTGTCTATGCAATATGTCAAGCTCTAGGCATTAATGTGTCTATAAAAGTAGTGAATAAATTCAGCAAAATATCTTGTTCATTGTGTCTGTGATAATCATTCATGTACATGTACATCACTACATATACAAAAATGTACCACATCTATTTTATATAGATCTGTCATATGCATTTAATACACAATTCTAAAAATAAAAAAATAAAAACTATAGGCCATGCAACATGTACTACAAGTATACAACAGGGTTTATACTTGGTACAGGCAAATGCAATGTGATTGAAATAGTTTTTGTGTCACCTGAGACCATTGTTGCAAAATGTGACACTTGGGGTTCAGTCTTTAGTTGTTGTGGTTTAGTCTATTTCTCAAACTAGCGATTAGGCCTCTACATTTGGTGTATGGAATGATTTTAAGGTGAACATGTCCGACACAGGCAGGGGGGGGGGGGGGGCTAGGATGAAAAATGTGGTCTGCATTTTTTTTTAGTTGTAATATCTGTCCTGCCTTTTTATTGTTCACTCTATTCGGTCCTGCCTTTAATTTTTTTAAGTTTATCCTGACTTTTTTTTACCTAAATTGTCATCCTGTCAGACTTTTTTTTTTGCAAGTGTCTCATCCTGAATTTTTTTTACTCAAAACTCCTGTCCTGCCTTTTTTTCAAATTTCATCCTAGCCAAATTAACTTGGATTTTAATAAAACTCTACAGCTATCTCAATCATATATTGATCTTACAAAATGCAAGGTTATTTGGAAGTCAGGTTTATTGCTAGCTATAAATGTAAGGATTTATTTAAAAGGTAAAAAAACAAGAATTTTCAGTTCGAGCTAAATTCACAGCTATCTAAATCATATATTGATATTACAAAATGCCTGGTTATTAGTCCCCTACCGTCAAAGTCGAAGGGGACTTTAGGTTTGCACTCTGTCCGTCTGTCTGTCTGTCTGTCCATCGGTCAGTCCGGCAAATCAGTTTTCCACACTTTTTTTCTTTGTGCTTGAAGATATTGATTTGATTTTTGGTGTATTGTTTTATCATGACAAGTTACAGATCAAGTTCGAATTTTATTTATCAATTATTATGTCAATGATAGACTAGGATTGGTTTTTGGTATATATGTATCTGCTACAGCATGGGAATTGTATAGGAAATACACATGTATTTAAATATATATAGCCTACTACCTAAGATTTTTTTCTTACTAGATACAAAATAAAAGAGCCCCCCTCCTGACAATTCACAAAAATTCGTACAGTAAGGCACCTCTCTAGTAGACTCTACCAACTGAGCAAAAAAAACTTCACCAGAGCAGCTAATAGAGGACAGTTTTTTTTTCTTGTATGCAAGCCGAGGGGGTGCTTGTGGCGCTACACATCTATATGTATGGTTTATCAATACTTCCCATTTGAATGGTTTTACACTAGTAATTTTTGGGGCCCTTTATAGCTTACTGTTCGGTGAGAGTCAAGGCTCCGTGTTGAAGACCGTACTGTGACCTATAATGGTTTACTTTTATAAATTTTGACTTGGATGGAGAGTTGTCTCATTAGTACTCATACCACATCTTCTTATATCTATTAGACTTTTTACATGTCCCATTCAAACTATGCAAAGTTTGCACCCCTTATCAAAATCCTTGATCCACGTCTGGCAGAGGGAAGTAGTCAGGGGCGGATCCAGCCATTTATAAAGGGGGGGTTGGGTTCCTAACCCAGGATAAAAGGGGGGGGGGTGGTGGTTCCAACTATATGTCTCCATTCAAATGCATTGATCGTCAAAAAAAGGGGTTCCAACCCCCGGAACCCCCCTGGATCCGCCACTGGCAGTGCTATAGTGTACAGTTTAACAGTGTTTACTGTACTCTTTAATTTCCACGATTACGACCTCAAGTCATAAAGCATATGAGACACATCTGAAATCTTTGACAAACGTCACATATTTCAAATATTCATGGCTATAGTTACAATATGACGACGAAAGAGATTTAAAAACTATTTTCAAACGATTAACAATCGAAGCGATAAATTTTAAGTCCCATTGTTTTTATTTTTGGATACCCTCGGGACCTTTCAATGAACCTCATTCAAGTATATGTTCCGCGTGCGCTGTTCAGATTGGATAACTAGAATTATGATTGGTTGAAAAAGTCACATGCAAAATCCTTCAGAAGTGAAACCTTATACGGGTAGTTGTTAGATCCTCGTATGTAGTATAACGAAATCCGAGATCTATATTTTAATTAGATTGTCTAGATAGTGTACAAGTGATTCCTATCTTTTTGGAACGTAGGCGTAAATTGTGAGTTCAGCAAAACACAACATAAATATCTAGGTCAAACATTGAAACTGAATAAAAGTTAAAGTAAAACTTTCCAGTACGAAAATTTTCTACAATCTAAAAAAAAAAGAAAGAAAGAAATATTGTGCAGACGAGGTTTAAATATCCAAGACTGGACATCAAGTCTCTTGCACGAGAAAAGCGATCCCTGCGAAAACTCTTAGGGACAAACCTAGTTATATATAATATCTAAAAATAGAAAATGGGATATACATAATATACAAAGCTTAAGTCTGTCTCAATTTCAACTGCTCAAATAACTGCGTCAAAAAGGAGCCGATTAGTTTCACATGACTCTTTTGATACGGACTCGGCTAAACATGCAAACGATTTAACGGCATATACTGTGCAGGTTGGTTTTAAGGAACATAAAGCTCATGTATCAAGTGTATTTTGCGCATAATCGAATCGGTTTAGGATTTTATTTAAACAATTACACCTTCTGCAGGAAAAGAAAAAAAAAATGCCCATCAAAATCCAGATTTTTTTAAAAAATTTTGTAACACAAAATGCATTTAATTTTCATATACTTGTATCAACACTTAACGTCATTTTCAATATGGCGGTGCGGGTCAAAAGGTCATAGGGTAAAACTTCCGTATCCATTGTAAACAATATGGCCGCCGTGATAACGTTGAAAGAAAGATGTGAAGTTCTGAACTTAATTTGATACATTTTTACACGATTTTTATATACTTTACTCTTTATATATTTGACATTTGATGCGATATTACCTTTTATAATGGAAACTACAGTAACTGACCAAAACACTTCTTTAGATGATTTTTTAACCTGGAAAATTAGTGCTTTGCGCGACTACTTGACAAAGAGAGGTATGACGAAAGATGGTACAAAAAGTGAATTGGCGGCTCTTTGCTATTCGGCGTCTGTTTTAAAAATTGCAGTCATTCCATCTTCTTTTGAAATTATCAAAAACAATAAACTAGACTATCAGAACTTGCTAAAAATAAACGGCCAAGCTTTACCAGATCCACTACAGATTCATAATAACTGATAAGATGAGAAAAATGGTATGAAAAAAATTCCACCAGTCTACGTATCTGACATTGTAAAGTACTTAAGCGAAAAAAATACATTGAAAATCAAGTCACAACATATTAACTAGTTTTAAAACTGTTTTCATTGTTTTTCTTGAAAATCTAAAATGATGAATATACCTTTAGTTCTAATCTCAGATGTTATGATTTGTTTAGTTTGGGGCTTTTTATGTTATTATTGGTTCCAATCTCTACAAAAGCTCTCAAAAGGATATGTCTTTGAAAACAATTTGTTCCAGACACAGCCTAAAATTCTTTTTTTAAACATGAGGAAATTTCAAAACCCTCCCCACAAAAAAGGGCATTCCCCAAGTCAAAATCAATGCACTTAAATATGTTGTTTAAAATATGTTTTCAGGTTTTGTCACAGAAAATGTAGAAGAAACAGTAACCAAACCAGTTAGTGAAGACATCACAGCCTACACAATACAAGACATTAAAACAAAATGTAACAACCAAACTGACTTTTTAAGCAACATGCCAAAGTATACTGAGAGTGAAATTCAAAAAGTAATGCGTTCTACGGTTGGTCAGTCCAGCAATGAAAAATGGCATGAAATAAGATCGGGTCGTCTGACATCATCGAATTTCTACGAAATACATACAAAAGTGCAGAGTTATAAGAAAAAAGAGGGTGTTACTTTTGATCCATTAATTTCACGACTCATGGTATACAAAAAGTTAAATCCTAACATAAGGTCTCTTAAGCATGGGCGAGAAATGGAACCAGAAGCCAATTCGTGTTACCTTGTGGGTATGAAGAAAGCAGGCCACACAGATGTTATTATCACAGAATGTGGAATATTTCTTGATAATGACATGACTTATCTTGGGGCTAGCCCTGATTTACTCGTTGATTGTGCTTGTTGTGGCTCAGGTGTTGTTGAATTTAAATGTCCTCTTGTTCCAAAATGTGGCAAATGTACAACATTTTGCAGTTGTTCTATTCCAGACTATTTGTATGTTGATGGAACTAAGTACAGTTTAAAAAAAAAACACAAATATTATGGCCAAATTCAAGGCCAGTTAGCAATAACTGGAAGGAAATATTGTGACTTTTTTATATATACATGTAATGGAACATTTTGTCAGAGAATTGTTTTTGACAAACCTTATTATGAGGAAATTGTTGATAGTTTAAAATTATTTTTTGAAAAATATTTTGTTCCTGAACTATTTTCTGGTGAACTTAAAACGCAAACTGCTTCAAATCTACAGGAGGTGTGTACCAGGAACAACAGCAGTCCTATAGAGGACCAAATGGAGTTTGAAACAACATATTTTTGTCCATCATGTAATCACATTGTGAAAAACTCTGAAAATGTTGAAAATTTTATTGATCATAGTATTTGCTGTGATATTTGTGACTTGTGGTATCATTTCAGATGTGTAAATGTAACAAAAAAGGTAGCATTAAAGTTACAGCAGTGGATTTGCAAAAAATGCACTCAAAGTAATTAAATATAATATGTCATACAGAATGTACATGATGTACATGTACAAATAATTGAAACTTTAATTTTTAGAAGAATGCAGCTACTATATATGCATTATCAAATAATTTTACCTGAATATGTACCTGTAGAAAAGTTTTAATTTTCATATATAAATTATGCTATACTTTATAAAAATAAGGAGATGTGGTATTGTTTAGCTTCAAGAGATTGCAAATGAGACAACGTTCCACCAGAGTTCAAATGAAGTGAATATATTAGTAGTAATAGGCAACTGTGTGGCCTTCAATAATGAGTTAACCCCATACCCTTTAGTCAGTGGTAAAAGACAATGACATGAAAAATGTGAAACAAATGAAAACTAACAACAAAACCTTAATTGTGATTATTTTTCACAATTTTTGGATCACAATCAAAATTATGTCTCATACTTTGGAAGAGGGGGGTACATGTTGCATATTCCTGCAATTGTTTTGAAAATACTATCCAAATGTTGCATGAGAGTAAGCGGCACTTCATACTTCAGTATTCTAAAGTATTTCATTCTTCTTATATCTTGCTCAATGTGAATTCTACGATTAGCAATTTCTTGTGTTTGTTGCACTTCAGTTGTTGACATTTGTGTAACACCTCTACGACCTGGTGGAATAAACAGTTGTGCTCTTACCAAAGCTAATTCTTCCCTTATGGTGAAGCCACGATCAGCCATTACACAGTCATATGGTTCAAGAATGTCTAAAAAACCAGAATTGTTAGTAATATATTTATCACTGCATCTACCACCAAAACCCTCTGAAACGTAATTAATTAAGCCAGAAGGATTTATGCTCACTAAGAATTTAGCTGTGTTATGATGTTTATAATCACTCCAAGTCTGAGCTGCAACCTCTAAATTATTGGGTCTCTCTAAAATTACTTCGGTGCAGTCAATGATGTGACGGACATCAATGTATTTTGTTCCTTTGAAAGAAGGTGGTAAATTTGTTTTTACTGCCTCTTTTGATGGGTTAAACACCAAAGATCCTATTGTACTGGACCAAACTTTTATCCATGTTGTAAATATGTTTGAAGCATGGGTGGTAGAAATTCCAAATCGGTCAACAAGATCTTCAAACAACAGGCCCAACCTTAATTTCATAAGGGTCAATGCAAATTCAAATTTAAGTGATAATTTTCTGTTTGAATTTGATCTTGTATATTTCTTGTTTTTAAGTGGATTGCATGTCCTTTTTGGACCTTTCCAATGTCTCATTTGCCTCACTTTTTGTTCCAATTCAACGAAAAAGTCATTGAAAGTTTCAACCTTTGGTATGCCTGTATAGAATTTGCATTTTTTGTCACTTTGTAATATGACATTTATGTCAAATGTTGTTTTGCGTTTAGTATTGACAGATCTTATGTAAGCAGATTTATATATATTGACTTCTTTTTGCAGTGTCTGTACCTGGTCCCTTAATAAAATTACTTCACGGTTACAGTCTGTGTCTTGTATATACATGTAGCCATGATCAGAAGTTATGTGTTTGTTCAAATCCTCAACTGAAAGGTCATTCTCAAGTTTTCGCTTTGTTTTCTTAGGAGGGGGACTTTCATGTCTTTCACGTGGAGGGGGCCTAAATTTTGTTACTTGTATTGGTGTGTAACCCAAGTCAAGTGTTGGTAACGGGTTACTAAGAGTTGGTTCACAATCTACAAAATGTTTGGAGCAAATTCGAGATTCAGAATTAGGTTGCCAATTATTGTTTCCATGTTTTCGATTTACAATTGTTGTCCATTTTTTGCGACTAGCAGGATCTTTTCTCTCAGTGGGAAAAGGTATAAGTTGAAACTTTATACATTTTCAATAATTTAACCAAACATTGTAAACAGATAACCAACAAAGATTACTATACAGACTTAACAAATTGGACGATGGGTTACTTTATGATGCTTATGTTTGTAATAAAATTTTAGATGCAGGAAACATTAATTGTTGGTATTCATCTATGAGATATGTCCTTCAATCACTTGATATACAAAATTTGAATACAAAGCTCAATAGATTAATTAAATTTGTAAAATGTAAACTTTGTAACAGTTTTAAAACATTTTGGGGGGTCAAAAGATCTGATACCTTATCACAAGGTAATAGTAAATTAGAAAATTATTTCAACCTCAAGACTGACTTCGTAAAGGAGGCTTATTTATCAATTAAAGATTTTAATATAAGAAGAGCTATATGTAAATTGAGAATAAGTGCACATGATCTTAAAATTGAGAAAGATAGGTATAGTAAAAAATACATAGAGAGAAGTCAGCGTCTATGTCATCACTGCCTATCACATGGATCAAATTCTATTGAAGATGAGACCCATTTCACAGTAAGTTGTCCTTTATATAACGAACAGAGAAAATTATTATGGGATAAAGTAAACAGTTTTTGTAATAATTTTAAAGAATTACCCAAGGATAAAAAATATTTCTGGCTGTTCACAAATGAGCATTTACCAACTCTTTTGTGCCTAGGCAATTATATAATTAAGTGTTTAGAAATAAGATCCAGGTGGATACAAAATATATAAAATTATTATGCAATTATTGTTAATGTTATGTAAGACACATGATGTGTTAGGCTCTGATCCTGTCCAATATATGATAGTATTATATTAGGATATAGTTTTTCTTTTTTCCAATCATATTGTGCTTAATATTGTTGTAAATGATGCCCTTTATGGGTTCTTGATTAGATTAATAAAATTCTTATCTTATCTTCTTATCTATACCCATTATTTCAATAGAAATCTGCAATTGAAATACCAGAATATGAATCAAAATACACTGTGTGTAGACCGAAGATGAAAAAATGCAACTCTGCATGTTGTTGGGTTACTGCTTTTTTATTTACATGCTTATGGTGTTGACCATGGTTTGAGTGTGGTTTGATCATATGATTTAGTTGATTATATTCATCATGTTCATATTTATATATGATTATTAAAATTATTGTGTCAATTATTAAAATCTTTGTTATAATTTATTTTGCTTTTCATGGGCATTTTTATTGGAATAAAATATCTGATATTATTACTAACCTTGCTGTTGCCCCACAATTACACTGTTACAATAAAAACTTTTATCATGTAAACTTTAAACTTGGCAAAGAACAACCAATAACCATGCAAAAATATCAGGTTCACATGATCAAGGTTTTATATGCTTGTGTACAACCTCTTGTAGTATTCACAGGTGCTTGTGAGGCAATGTTTAGTATGGAAAGTGAAATAAGGGGTTGTATCAGAGTTGGTAAATTGACTTGAAACAAGACGGGACATGCACAGTAGCCACAAATAAGTATGGTATAAACATAGTAAAAATTAAACATTTTTAAGCAATAATAATTCATAAAAAAACACAGAAATTTAATAAAAGGGGGTGTACCCCACATGTGCCTGTTGCAGTTACAGCAGAAAGTTGTTTTATTTAAAAAAAAAAAAAAATATCAAGTATATTTGTAAGGTGGTAAAAATCAGGCCTTTATGTTATTTGTAAGTTTTATTTTGACAGATCTTGACTGTTTGGAACAGTACATTTTACAAGTAACCTGGCTGGTGGGCCCTCTAAACAATTATAGGGATCCATATATACATGTATGCAATAAAATGGAATAATGCATAAGCAAACCATTCCCGAGTCTAGTGTTATAAACACACGGAAATAAGTCACAAAAGTTAAATATTTCAGTTAGGTAATGCAGAAGACCGTGACCTAAACAGCTAAAAGGACCTTGTCACGGCTTGTGTACGACAAAGTATGGTTTTGCACCTCTGAAAGGATATACACTGGCTAAGTTTTTGTATTTTTACTAACCTGATGGATTATATAACTATTTAAAATGGTATAATTTGCAAGATTTAATACATTTTCAACTCGAGTAGTGATTCTGGCGATCAATGACAATGTTTATTATTACGTGCTCAATGATGTAAGCGGTTTTTCCCCTATGCCCTTTGACCGGGCCGCTTACGTTCCATGTGTTGATACAGGTATATCTAGTGGATTCCAGGCCTTAAAACTTTCCCAACTGCACATGCAAATCTGTACACAGAGTAGTTTTTGAGGTGTAAATACAGTCATGATAGACTGCTGGTGATTTATTAGCGAATTGATATATGTCATATTTAAATCATTAGACGTTGCAAAATAAAGAATTACTACTTTAGCATCATCGTTTATTTCGTAAACAAATTTATATATTATATATGCATATAATCAAACGATGGTGTTTGAAAGCAAAAATAATAAATTACCCCTACCTGTCATTTGCCTGTACTGGTTTGTTTACAAACATTACTATTCAGGTCAAGGTCATTGCAGATATATACTAGGTCATATAATGTAGGTTTATCAGCGTGACAGGATAACATCAATACAGTTTTGTGTTCTACTTTCTTTCGTATATCTGTGCCATATAACACGCTATTCATATAATAAATACATTTAATTAAGAACAGAAAGAGAAACCCGAATGAATGAAAATAACGAAGCACAGTAGGTATAGTATCGGTAGAAATGTAGTGCAGTTCACGTCTTTCTTATTAAAGAACATACGGTCATATTGATTTATCAGTATCTTGCCAGAATATCAGTTTCATTCTTGGTCGTCTTAAATATTTTGAATCGTACACAAGTTTTTGGCACAAACGAAGTATTATCTCCTTCTATTTCAGTTAAATTCAGATGGCAGCAATTCTCATTTTCCTCTGTTTTTGGTCTTATTTATTTTCAAATTAATTTCTTTTTTGTTCACATTTATTCCTTACATTTAATTGTGCAGAATGCTTTGAAATTCAAAAAATCTTGCGACGATTGCAGTATTGCAGAAATTTCTAAAAGGGAGGTTTCGAAAATAAATTAAAAAAAAAACTCGCATTTACAGATATCATAGCATTGTTGTATGCATCATTTCCTTAAATTATTTAATTGAACTCGTATTTTTATTTAAGAAATGATTCTACCATGCCATACTCTATGCTCATTTTAACTTTGGTAGCCATTATATTTGGCAATATCTTTATACCGAGCGTCAGCGACTGGTAAAATGTCGACAAACATAATGCATACCCGTGGTAAATGAGCATAGAGCATGTCATGATCGAATTATTTCGATTCTAATTGTAAAATTTAGAACTTTATGTACTACGAAGCGGACCTATAGTACACGTTCGTAAGGCAGTCATTTTGATTTGATGAAAACAAAACGATATAGGAAATCAACCGTGTCCCGCAATGAAAAATGAACAGATACACAATCATGCACCTAGCGACCAACACAAATGTGCATGGTCATGATCTCCGGCGTTGTTAAAATTTAAATTATGGCGTCAATCACGTGCAGCCCATATTATATTGCAATTAGAACATGGCTTTGTTTCCAAAGTGAAAGAAGAACGTCATTTTAGAATCAGTATTAAACATCGCAATAATAAATGCACGAAAATATTCTTTTTATCCTGTATTGAGCATTGTTTTTTTTCAAATCTTCCCAAGCAAAATACTCATTTCCAAAATGCTCCTGCAACAAAATGTATATGAAATCAGGTTCATGTTCTTTGTCGATATCAAGAAAAACATGACATTAAGGCAAAAAAAAAAAAAAAAAACAACCAAAAAAACACCTGCTTAAGTGGAAAATTGTCTACCTTGCAAATACTGTAAACAATTGGACTCTACAATACGTTTGGGACGTTCTCAGCAAAGAAGTTTCGAATTACAAAAATTGAAACTGGTAGGTAATATGATAAAGAGAAAACAGAATTTAAATTAAAAAAATGATAACCATAAGATTTTATTATTTCCTTCATGAGGGAACCCCTATTTAACTTTAAAGCAAATTATATGGTTTTCTGTTAACTTATTTCCGCTCCTCCGTGACCAAAATGGATTTTTCTATCTAGTTAAGCATCATATAATTTGTTTTTCCTTGTGGCTAAACATGTTTTGTGTTATCTCCCTTTAAACACGTTAAATGAAATGTCAGTAACCGTATCTTACTCAATATGGCATAATAAGGGTCACACTGACAAAAATAAAATTCGTTATTAAATTCGGGAAACTGTATCATTAGAACACTTTAAAATATGTGTATGGAAAGAGATTAGGATTCCGTATGCACTTGTTCTTTTTGGTTCAATTTTCCAACCAATAGCATGCTACAAAGATAAAGATAAACATATTTAAAAACATTTTTTTTACCTTTTATCATAAGAAAAGTGTTTATACGCCCGTATACAGGACGTATTATGGTATACCGTTGTCTGTCCTGTCCGTTCGTTTATCGCCAACATAACAGCTTTATTGACAATAACTCAAAAACAATTTCACCAATTTTTATGAAACTTTTGTGATTTTTTTTTATTTCTTTTTACGTAAGCTTTATTTCAATTTGAATACATTTTAGATTTTACGTTTCTGATATATGGGATATTTTCCAAAAAGAAATGGGGGATTTTCCAGGTTTCTAACCATAACTGTAAAATGCTCTAAGCGATGTTTATGGATTTTTGGGGAATTGTTTAAATATATTGCCAAAAGTTTCTTAATTCGATGTAATAAAAAATCTGATTCTACTTTTTGGAGTATTTGGACTTTGTCCATAAAAAAGGGGTGATATTCGATTTTTCGGACAATAACTGAAAAACGGTTTCAGCAGTTTTCCTGACACTTGTTTATCTCTACTGTAATGAGTTTTTTTTATATAAAAAAACTGATATGACAATGCGAAGTTATGGAAATTTATTCGTTGACAAATCGTCAAAAACTGTCCATTTTTCAAATTTTGGACGGCTATAGAATTTTATTCGTTCCAACATTGAATATACATTTTAAGAGTGTATTTTCTTTAATTATTGCATTTAAATGTGAAAAAAATGTCATGTTCCAGAATATTAACATTTCAAGGGTATCCGTTGTGCTATAGTTAACATTTAGAATCAAAATAATTCGCGATTAAAACACAATACAATCAAATCTACGTTCGAACCTACCATATACATTTTCCGATTGTAAATGAATCTTCATATCTCCTTTAGACAAGTACTTTCACTTACTTCCAAAAAGTAGAATGTTCAGACTATGCAATTTATACAGTTTATAATTACATTGCATATATAGTATATATTATATCGATGATTATTATTTATAACGTGACGTGTTATTCATTGTACGCCTGAAATTTGTATGTTATAACATTAGATTAAGCAAATTATATATTCTTTTAGCAATTAATATTAACATACACTAGAATAATACTATTTAAAACAAAATTTGAATACACTAGGTATAAAAAATAGCATATGAATGTGAGACTGTATAGATTCTAGATATTAGCACTTATCAACTGGATAAACGTGTGTGCCAGCGTCAACCCATGCATCAGACCCTTGATCTGCTCCGACACATGTTGCAACAGGAATAGCGAGCAATTCCACGCAACAACATTAGAACAATGATATCATCCATGCCAAGGAGATGCGTAGCAGTTTTAGAAGCGAGAGATGGTCAAGCAAGGTAGCAACTTTAATGGCACCGGAAACAACTCTAATTGGGATAAATTGACTTGTATTCATCAATATTGAAGGAATTGACTGTCATCTTCTCAATCAAACATGTTTTGAGTGAATCTCTTTATTAGTAATTGTAAAATTTCCATTCAAAATACATGTATCAAAATTCTTAAAATCCATTATGCGTTTCATTTTTTGCAGAGGTCCCACAGATTCTCAATAAAATTCAACTTCGGTAATTTGTTAGACCAAGGTAGCACATTGATGTTATTCTGCTCAAGGTAATCCATTGTTAAACGCGCTGTGTGAGGCCTACAATGTAGCATTGTCCTGCTGGAGTAACTCCCTCTGTCGGCCAATAAAATACATAATGTGAGGTTGGATAATTTCGTCTCAGTACCTTTGAGCCGTTAAATTAAATGGAACATGCACCAATTCCGTTTTACGGTCATTAGAGATAGCCGCCGCTACATCATGCCAATTCCTCCACCGAAGATATCCACTTCTTGGACACACAATGAAGCAAAACGTTCATTCATGCGCCGGTAGACACGAGTTATTCCATCACGTTTCTGAAGCATTAAACTGTACTCATCACTGAACCAGTTTATGCGCCGGTTGCGATATGACCTGCCCCTAAATCTGTTCTGCAACGGACTCTATTCCGTCTGTGTATCAGCCTCAGAATGGGTCCAAAATGCGGATTGCGGACTATTTGTGAGTATATTCTTCTCAATCCTGGTATCCCAACTGCTGTGACTGTTATGGCAACGGTTCGATTCCGTAGATGACAAACCCGGATGTAGCAATCTTGTGCAGGGGTCGTTAGGCGAGGCCGTCAACTCTTCAGGCGGTCCTTAGTACAGCCAGTCTGCTGGTATCTGATCCAAAGTCGCGAAATTGTGCTCTGGTTAACATTTTCAGTTCTTGCTACCTCACTTTTGGACACTCCGCACTGGAGACGGCCGATGACGACATCAAGTTTCGAATAGTAGGGTTCAACCTAAGCGTGGCAGCGTTTCAACGTTGTGATGAATTTAATCTTCAAACTTGAAACTTTATATGCGCAAAGGTGTAACAGTTGAGTCGACCACATAATTTTCGTGAATAACGTTAGCAAAACTTCGCGGCGAAAAAGTTTTGTCATTACTTGATGTGTATTTGACTTGACGTAATGTAGTTGTTTCATTACATGATGTGGTTTTGTTATTTCGTAATGATGATTTGCCAATTCTTTATATGGCTTTAACATTACGTAAAGATGTTTCAAAATTTGACGATTTTACACTACATGATGTGTTTTTTTCAGTATTTGATGTGGCCATGTCATTCTTTGATGTGGTTATCTCATTACTACTACGAGGTAAAACCACGTGACCATTTTGGAAAAAATATGTTCTATTTTTAGACCGATTTCCATATGTCGTTTGTGTAATGCGCTTTGGATGAGTACCGCTATCCATTAAGTTAAAGTTCAAATTAAAGTTCAAGTTGTTGTTCAGAGTTATTTGGTATGAAAAAAAGGAACGACAGACAAAAATAAGAAAAAAAGTACTAAAAAATTAACAGTAATTCGGACATATCCAAAACCATTTGGTCCTGCCGTTTTTTCCTCTCAAATGGAAGCTGTAAATTAATAAATAAAGTAAAGATTCTTATTAACCCTGTGTCTCGCCGGATAATTCTGCTGTCAGTGTAAAAGCGTAAATTAAATATTGACTGACTGTACATTAACCGGTAAACTTAACGGAGGAAAACATGTTTTTCTGTAGATGCTTTTATCTTGATCTTGAAGAATAACTCCTATACAAGTTTTATAACAATTCATGGAG